TGGTTACACACTCACATGTGTGTAAAATTCCAGGGGCGCCTGGGTGGCTCAGTCGGTTGGGCATCTGCCTTCGGCTCTGGTAATGATTCCAGGGTCCTGAGATTGAGCCCCACATTGGGCTCCCTGCTTGGGGGAGCCTGCTTCTCCCTCTCTTCTCTGCCTGCCACTCCCCCTGCTTGTGCTCTCTTTCCCTCTCTCTGACAAATAAATAAAATCTTAAAAAAAAAAGATGAAAGATTAAACAACTCTAAAGGACCTACAAGTTCTGGTCTTCTGAGCTGGTTGGGGTTCTTATTTATGTGTAAATTAAGTGTAAATTCAGTGAGTGTTGAATTCTCGCCACCAAGACACAGTTTTTGGGCATCTTAATCAACTGGGGAATATTCTTCACTTCCCGGAGAAATAAATTGGAAAGGTGCTCTCAGAATTGTTAGATTTCTGTTGTTTATTTCCCTCCCTAAGGCAATCCAGAAATCTGGGCTTTTGTGTGAACTCTTTCACTTTTAAAATATTTTTAGCCAAATTTTAAAAACTTATTTTGTTGCCAGCAGCTGCTACAGGTCAAACATGTCTGACTTCGGGTTGGGGGGTTTTTATTTCCTGCTCTGAGAAGCCCCTTTGCGACCTCTCAAAGCATTTTTGAATGGGGTAAGCAGTGTTACCTGGATATCCAAAGTGGGATCTGGGAAAAGTTTTCATGTGTAACAACTAAGGTCTCAGATCTTTATTACCTGTGCCCAGCAGAACCTCTTGCAGGAACAGACTGGTTCAGATGCTGGCCCTCACTGTATGTCCTACACTAACCGGAGCATGGCAAGGATCAGGCCAACCCAGGACTCTGCTGAGGCAGCTGATGGGCTTCTGGTGCCAGAGTGAGCCTTGTAGAATCTTACTGCTCAAAGTGTAGTCCCTGGACCAGTAGCATCACATGGGAGCTTATTAGAAATCTTTGGTCCTGCCCCAGACCTACTGAATCAGAAGCTCTATAGAGGGTGTGGCAATCTCTATGAGAAGCTTCCCAGATAATTCTTAGGCACCTAAAGTGTAGGAAACACTGGTTTACAGATAATTATAGGTCCACACCCCTTCCCTGGAACCTTTAGGCTGGATATGTTTGCAATCACAGTTTTTTTTTTTTTTCAAATTTTAGAAAGAAGTAATCTGGTGCATTTATTACATAAGGTGAACCCTCCCTCTGAGTCTGGGGGCAACACTGTAATCAGACATGTTAATGTTTCTGCAAGAACACCTGCATTTTCCTGCTAAGAGGAATGCTAAAGACTGCATTGCCCCTGTGTCAGTGCAAGCCAGCTTTTGCTGCCTAATGACTTTGGGATTTACATTTGGTTGTCAGAGCATTTGAGGAATCTAAGATTAAAGAAGAGGGATCAGTAGACCTGGTTTTAGTCCCCTGGGAGCTTGGCTGGGAGACTGCCCATGGAACACTGCAAAAACCAGAGTCTCATAAGTTTTGCCTTTAGCTCTTTGCTTGACAAGGCATGAGCTTTGCACTGGACTTGGCTTGACAATAGGCATTTTTCTTATTGCATCTGAGGAGAATACAGGTGCAGAGTTACTATGTCCATCCTTAACATGGAGCGGGAACCACAGCAGGTTCCCGCAAGCACCTCTGAGCTCCTGGGCAATATCATTTACCCAGAGAGGCTGCAATGAATGCTTTCTGACAAATCTGATCTGAGCTAAAACTTCAAAGCAATACAGGCTGTCCTCCTCAGAGCACTAAGCACCAGGACCTCCACAAATTCTGAGGATTTGTCCTCTGCAACTCCTCCCTGTTGGCTTCATTGCAAGCACTCTGAGCAGTACTGGCCACAGGGCACAGGGCGGAGGGCGAGGCCTCCTTCTGTTGGCAACATCAGCCACCATTTATGAAACACCTGTGTGCCAGAGGTCAGGCTGGGTCCTTCGTGCCTTACAGCATTTCACCTCACACTAACTGCAAAGAGGGAACCGATTATTTCTGTTTGGCAGGTAAAGAAACAGACGCTGAGAGGATTTTGATAGGAATAGGGCGCAGGTCCCTGGATGCCAACCACAGTTGTCCACCCTGGAGTCTGCTTGGCTCTCAGGGGACACGAGTGCCCTGGTTCCAACCTTCAGGAATTCTCTGAAACTGAAAGAACCTACCTCCCCTCTACTGGGAAGGGATGAGATGTTCTTAGCAGTTAGGCTTGGTCAGTTGTGGATACCAATAATACAATGTGGAGGGTCAACAAGGGGGCTAGCTGCTTGAGGGTTTTTATCTATGGGTGCCTTTATATGGGGGAAAGGACATTTTATACCAAAGAGGGATCGAATTTCAGAAGAGAATAGCCTCCCTCCACCTTCTCCCAAAAAGGAACAGTTGGAAACCTTTTGTAAGACACCGTATTTGTTCTCTGTTCCCTGGGGCCCAGGGGTGGTTTGAGAACTGGCATGGGAGTTGGAGGGGCTCCCTGATCGTTCAGCTTGAACAGTCTCGGACTCGGGTCCTATTTCTCGAGAGCAGTACAATCTGTGTTTCTGTGAAGCTCAGTGCTATTCCGGAGCCCGCTGAAGTGTCGCCGTTGCCCTCCTTCCCTTCTGTAGCCACACAGATCTCTTTTTTTAACCTCTATAACAATCTCAGATCCGGGTTCTTTGCCCTTCTTTTTTCTTCCCTCTCTCCACCTATTTTCACTAGGTTCCCACTCCAGGCATTCTTCAGACATACTTACTTTGGGAGTCCTAGGAAGATGGTGGGAGCCAGCAGGTTCGGCTCTGAGGTAGCAAAATGGAGGCTGTGAGAACCCGTTGGGACCCCTCGGGGTGGTGTGTGGGGGAAGGAAGCCCTTCCCCACTTCCCTCCAAGGGAAATAGAATTTCTCATTTCCTTGGAAAAATGGATTGGGCCACACTTAGTGTGGAGCCGTGTCCCCACTCCCTCTCCAGCCCTTCACCCACACGGCAGAGGGGACAAGGCCCGGGCCTGTGTCCAGGTGGTCCTGGCCAGGCTGGCCTCCCGGAAGCTCTCTCATTCATCTCTCTCCTTGTATGGGGACTGGACATGCATGGGTGCCCCCAAATACATGTTTAAAGACGTTCCTCACAGCAGTGTTGGTAATCCCGAGAAAGCTAGGAACATCAAATGCCCATCACCAGGGGAAGAGTTAAATTCTGAGGTATTTGTGTCATGACAAGAAATGAGGTCCATCTGTTTGGACTGACAAGTAAAATTGCCCTTGGTATCTTTCTCAATGAAGGAAAAAATCCGAACAAAACAGAAAACCCCCCGCTGAGATGCCTGACTATATGGCTCTGTTTGTATGAGATTGGGTGGGTGGTTATATCTCAAAGGAAAGGGTTGAGGTGAAAGGAGTAGACTGACTTTTTACTCCAGATTGTTCTGTCCAGACGGGATTTTGTTTGGTTACCATTGACATGCATTACCTTTTCATTTTTTTCTTAAGCCTTTTAATGTTTGAGATGTACTACATGGCTAATTTATTAAATAAATACCGCCACCTGTAAAAGGCCACAAAACAAAAACTAAAGTCTCACACCCCTCAGAGGTAACTACATTGAACTGTTTCAGCATTTAAAAAAAAAAAAAAAGTAGGAAGTCCTTTACTTGGCAAATAGCAAATGTGCAAATCTCTAGAGGTAATGTGAAATGAAAAAAAAAAAAACACTAGATTTTTTAAAAAATGCACAGATGTGTTTCTGGACCAAAACCCCCCACAACCAGCAAACATAATGAATCACCAGGGAAACCAGGACTTCGTGGGGACACATGTCTTTTTTTAAGACTTAGTTATTAGAGAGGGAGAGAGAGAGTGAGGGGGAGGGGCAGAGGGAGAGGAAAGGAAGAGAGAGAATCTCAAGCAGACTCCCTGCTGAGTGGGGAGCCCAATGCAGGACTTGATCCCCGGACCCTAAGATCATGACCTGAGTCGAAATCAAGAGCCAGACACTTAACCAACTGAGCCACGCAGGCACCCCAGGGGACACGTTTCTAATGGCAGATGAGCATGCTGGGCAGCCTGAATCCTGGGACTGACCCTTATCATAAAGTTTAATCTCCTTAACCCAGAACAATATAAGTAAAGTGTGGAGGTGGTAAGAGGGGATACACAACCCACCTCAGAAGCACCTGCATCTGGAAAATTCTATGTGCCTTTCTCCTAGAAGAAAAAGATACTGCTTCCCGCCTACCCCTACCCATTCCTGTCTCTCTGAATGACTGAGGGAGAGCTGTAAGACCATGGGGGGCCTACTCCTTTGGTTTTCTGCATCGGTTTTGCCCCACCCCATCCCCACCTCTCACCCTTGTTCAGATGGGGTCAAGTTTGGCACATTTCACAGTTTGATTTCCTAGAGTTTAAATATAACTGAAAACCAAGTACCTACTTGGATTTATACCTCTCTCTTCTCTAAGAATAGGAAAAAATAAGATGAAGCCAGGAGTGAGATTAGTTCCCAAAGGGCTCCGTTAATATGTATAATCTTCTTTTCATTTTTAAGAACTTGCTGCTGGGATTGAGGAGTTCACCTAAATGTCCCCTCCCCTGCTTAGGCTGGGGAATAGATCAGCTGGGCCTGCTTTGGGAAGAGCTATCTCGCAGCTCTGGGTCAGGGACAGGTGCCGAAAGGCTGTGGCTGCTGGGGCCCCCCAGGTGCCTGCCTTCCTCAGCCAGTAGGTCACCAAGGCTGAAATCTGAATGAAGCAAGGATCAAGAGCAAAATGAGAGAGAGAGGTGGCCGAAGGGAAAAGCAAGGCGGCCTGGGTGTCTTGGGGGCAGGTGAGGGGTGTCTGGGTGTGCTGTGTAAAAAGTTGGTAGGAAGCCCCCTCCTCCTGGAGGCACTGATGAGCTGCTTCTCAGAGCCCTCATCCCTGCCCCCTCCAAGTGTCCAGATGCACCCCTTACCACACGTGGCATGCAGGTCTGGCCACTTCAGAGATCCAGAGGTGCCCAGATCTTCCACGCTCCCTGACCACTCCACCCCTCTATCTCCCCCAGGGTCTGTGCTTTAATGGCAGTGCCTTCATCTTATACCTCTCAGCCGCTGTGGTGGACGCATCTTCTGTCTCCCCCGAGAGAGACAGCCACAATTTCAACAGCTGGGCAGCCTCATCGGTGAGTGAGCAAGCCCCTTCACCTGCCCCACCTCCTTCCTGCATGGTCAGGGTCACGATTTCCTCCTCCCAGTGGGGCTGGGGATCCAGGAGAAGGACCAAGTTATCTGTAGGGGCGGGAAAGCCTCACCTGCATTCTTGACACTGGCAATTAACTTGTTGGTTTGAAAGCATTAGAAACTACTGGGGCCTCCTGATGGCCTGAAGTGCACAGAGGTTAAAAGACCCAGCTTGAGTAAAAGCCAAATAGCTGGAACAAAATAAGTATTCGAGGAAGAAAAAATATTTGAGGCACTCTAAGAATAATTCTGCTGACTACAGTTCAAGTGGGGAGACAGTTGCAAAAAAAAAAAAAATGAGCACACTATGATTCTATTTTTACTTAAGAAGTGGAGATGTTTGTTTATGCGATGCGAGTGCCTGGGAAAGCATACATGAACAGAGGTTCCTTCCAGAGACTGTGGTTGGTTGATGAGGGGAGAGCCTGAGGGGCTTCTGCTTTTTAATTTATGTGCTTCCACAGTATTTACATATTTAAACCATTAATGTGTATGGTAGTTCTGATTTTAAAAACTAATTTTAGAAGTTTCTCTGAGATTGGCCTTAAAATATTCCATTCCCAAAAGAAGTAATTGGCAGGGGTTTGGGGGGCAGTTAAACAGGAATACCAAAATGATCATGTTAAAACTGATTGATGATACACAGCCGTTTATTATATATATATATATATATTTTTTTTTTTTTAAGTGGGCTCCATGCCCATGTGGAGCCCAACATGAGTCTTGAACTCACGACCCCAAGCTGAGATCAAGAGTTGGGACACTTGATCAACCCAGGCCCCCCTTTCCCTATTTCTTATATTCTGATATTTATATTCAAAAATCTCTATCTAAAGGTAGAGAGCATGGTGCACATGGTTCAGTCAGTTAAGTGTCTGACTCTTGATCTCAGCTCAGGTTTTGATCTCAGGGTCGTGAGTTCAGCCCCACATTGAGCTCTATGCTGGCCGTGAAGCCTACTTAAAAAAAAAAAAAATTTAATCACAAGCTTTAGCAGCACTAAGCTCAAGCTATCATACAGCAAGAATCAGCCAGACCTGGGCAGTGGCTGCCCCTTCAGAGGGACCTGCTTTTTCCCTGCTCACCGTTCACACCCTGTGGGTTCATCGCTTCCTCCCACCCACTCAACTCCTTTATGTAACTGACCCTATGGCAATCTGAGGATAAGCCCTGGTCTAAAATTGTCTATACTAAATTAGGAATACATGTGCTTTTCTCAGATACACACCACCATATTCACCCTGAAGTGAACACCCTGTGGTTATTTGAGCAAAACTACAAGCTTTCCAGATATGTTTCAAAAAGAAAAACAAAAAACAAAACAAAACAAAACCCCAAACAACCAGCATAGCCAGAGATCATTTCAGAAGGAAGGTAATTGAACCAATAAAACAATTTTAGATGAGAAAGCCTGGAGTCAAGGGATGCTATGAGTGCCTGATTCAATGGAGGTGAAATGATAACTTTCGCTAATTAGAATGTGCCCTAAGCCCTCTTTCTATTATGCTCTGTTTTCTCCAGTTCTTCGCCTTTTTGGTCACCATTTGCTATGCTGGAAACACATATTTCAGTTTTATAGCTTGGAGATCCAGGACCATACAGTGATTTGCCATTTTGAGAATTAAACAGGAGAAAGCAGGAAGAATCTCACTGTAAAAAAACAGCAACAACAAACTGTAGGTATAATGTATATTTCCAGAGAATTATATTTAACTAATGTTTTTATATACTTAGTTAAATTTGCTCACAGTGGTTTGTTACAATTAAACTGGATACTTATTTGCAAATTGTTGTAGCCATATAATGAACTCTTAAATATCTTATTCATGTCTTCATGGACCTTATTTTCTTAGACAATGTATAAATAGATAAATTGCTAATGTTAAGACTGTGTCGAGTTTGTAAACCTAACTTTTAAAATGCCAGATTCTTTTCTGATTAAATGTTTCAAAATCTTGGGTAAGGTGTCTGATTTGAGAAAGGAGACCTACTGCCAAAGCCCAAGGTTGGGTGCTGTGGGTAAATCTTCATCCTCACAAGGCTGCCCAATTGTAGTATTGCCCAGACACCCTTGTCCACAGCCACCGGGCCCGGGTAGTAGGAGAGACCCTTCTCCCCGAGACTGGGGATCATCAGTGGCCATGATTCTCACATGCTAACCAGTTGACCCAGAAAGCATGTAATGAGACACTGGCCTCGCAGTTCGGTAATAAACTCATCCTAAGTGATGGTGCTAAGTGCCCAGACTGATGTGCTGTGTGGCAATTTTTTCCTAATACATATTAAAATAAGTGCATAACCATTAAGCCGATAAATACTTGCATGTACCTTAAGATACTTGCTGACCACAGTGACGCGTGTACCGTACTTTGTGGAAAACACCTGACCCCACGTCTCCAGTCTCCAGAACTAATATTTTGTGGCACTGTTATGAGATACCATCAGATGGTGGGAAGAACCCTAGGCAGCAAGGCAGATGTGTATTTAGAGGAAGTGTGTTGAGGCAGTATGGTTCTTGCTGGTACGGCAGTGTATCTTGGGTGATTTTTCAACATGGGCTTCTTTTGAAAAACAAAAAACCACAGAAACATTAGTATAGTTGATGACAGTGAAAAATCTTAGTTGCGTACTCTGTGGGCATAACTCCTGTGGCCTCCACTCTCCTGTGAGCAATGCTCTTTCTTACTGCTGCTAGTTGTTTGGTAGGTCTTCTTGCTTAACCGTAAGTTCTTATCCAAGTTCTGTTTACCTCTACGTAGGAAGGTTAGGATTTCTTCAGCGTCTAATACCCACCCCAGACCCATCCACAGTTCTGGATCCAAATAGGTAGTGGGGAGGGGGGCACCCAGAACAAGGTGAGTGTAGAGACCCAATGTGTGGGAGTGGGTGGGTGTTGGGGGTACAGGAGGCCAGTCTGAGTCCAACGTGCAGATGATCAGGGCTGCAATCCGAGGGAAGTTGCCTCCCTCGCCATCACTAGGACAGCCTCCACCTCACCCATTTTGCAAGAGAAGCTGAAATACTAGTCAGAATTTGTGTGCTCTGCCTCTCTGTTCATCTCTCCCTCTCACTCACAGAGGCATATTCACCTTCCATGTACTCAGTGGGTGTTTTAAGCACTTTGTATTGCAACCAGAGCTCCACACAAGGCAGAAAAACTGTAACCTCCAGATGGGTCTGTTTCTGGAAACTTCTGGAAACAGCCGTCAAGAAATAAGCCTGTTTTATGTCCTCCCCACCCCCTGTGGGGTGTGTGTGTGATTTTTATAATCATGGCCCCATTTATAGGAAGTAACTTCTACGGTGAAAAGTTCCATAAACCACTTTGAAATATTCTCCAAAAAGACTACAGCTATAGGTCTTTTTTGAACCAGTAGAATCGGAGATTGAACCAGTAGAATCGGAGAGACCGGTTTCAAGAGAACAGTACTCATTTGTGTCCATGCAGGAGTGTTTGTTGTTTGTATGTGTGGTTTCTCGGAGCTTGACCATTTGTGTGATCCTGAGAGTTTGCCAAAAAAACAAAACAAAACCCAGAAAAACATAATTTTTTAACTGAAAGGAAATTCTTATTTCCTCTTTTGAATACTGACTTTGTTCATGAATTTTTAAGTGTGGGTTTTTAGACAACAAAATGATTCTCTTGTTCAGATGAAGCTATAAGTTTTGAACTGCTTCAGTTTTTCTCCTAAGAAAGAAAAACAAACAGCCACATGTGCTACACCCAACATAACAAAAAGAATAGGCTTCTGGGGTTTGAAAAATATTAGTACAAGGATAGTATACAACGTGCTTAAACTGTTCTCTGGTATCTCTGCTCACCATCTGCCCTCCCCAGACCATCATGCCCTTTTTGGTGGAGCTTGGTGGGTTTTGAGTTTGATGCATTTACCCACTTATGGCCAATCAATGACACACTTTAGGCAATTAATCTCTCTCCATTGCAAGGTCCAACTCACAGCCCCAAAAGATAAATATCTAGCCAATATTTGAAAACTATAAGAAAACCTAGAGACAAGACTGTTCAATATCAATTATTTTTGTACATTTAAAAGTCGCTGCTTTCACAGAAAAATCCCTTCAGGCTATCAGCCCACAAAAAGGTTTAAATACATAAAGTTCTCTCTGCATAGAGCTTGGACATTTAAAAATACTAACTGAAGATACAGCCCTGGGTAGAAAATCAATTTAAAGTTTGTATTTCTATCCCCTAGACAATTATTATTTTAATGGAGAAGATGGATTTTTCACAGGAAAAAATAATTCGGGCATATAAAGCTGGGCACATGAGCAAACACATACCCTGTAAGGTGACAACCTAAGAAGCATTTGTTCACTTGGCCTTACATGGAAGTTCTGGCAGTGTGCTGCTGCCAAATGTGGGGCTCAAGCAGATGGCTGTGGAGGAAAGTAGGATGACTATCCCCATGTGGCTGACTGAGAGTAATGGGCAAGATTAGAATAAGTCTGGTTACAAGTTAGGGGGTGGGTGAACTTAGGTGTTTGCTCTACAGAAGAAGATAGGGCTTGAGGGAAAATGCTTGGCAACACAGGTGATGATTTCAGAAACTAAGGAAGGTGGCTGACATAGTTGTTGACTGAAGAGACATTAAATTTGGAAGGTATGTTTTGAGAAAACTTGAATGTCAATGACAGAGGTTTTTTTCCCTAGAATATTCCGAATAACTAAATCCAGGAAGGAAGGATGTAGAGGAGCTCGTCGCTGCCTGGCCCACATCTCTTCTCCCTCCTCTTGTTGTCTTTGTTTTTATTTAATAAATAGCCTCCCTCTTATGCCTCAGCTTCATGGGGGAAGCTGACTGCACTTAGATGAGGGTCTGTGGCTCTAAGCTAATTCCACCTCCCTGGCCACACCGATTGGTTCAGGGATGGGCCTGTGACTCAGGGCTTGCCTGTTGTGGAGTTCTGAAGTAATGAGTAGGCGGGAAATGGTTGGTAAATATTCTGTGACCACAAGGGAGAGCCAGTCGTGGGATGAAGATGACTGGAAGGAAGAGCAAAGGGATGGAAAGAAACTTCATGGTTATGTCATTGAGCCACTGAATCCATGCTGTCAAACTCTGGGCTTTCCCATGACACGAGCAATTATACTCACTTTGCCTAAACTAATTCTTGTTACTTGCAACAGCATGCATCCTAACCAGTGCACAGGACATCCTGGCACACGGCTTTCAAGCAAACGTGTAACAACTTGGTTCTGATTTACTTTCTCTAATAGTCGCCACAAGGCTCTAAGGAGATGACAGTAATGATGTTATAAGTCAATGTTAGTACTATTTAGCAATAGAAGGTAGAAAAGGGGGGCGCCTTGGGTGGCACAGTCAGTTAGGCATCCAACTCTTGGTCTCGGCTCAGGTCATGATTGCAGGTCATGAGATCGAGCCCTGTGTCGGGCTCCACACTCAGCAGGGATTCTGCTTGAGATTCTCTCTCTCTCCCTCTCCCTCTGCCCCTCCCCCCCACATACTCAAGCTCCCTCTCCCTCCCCCCTCAAATAAATAAATCTTTAAAAAAAAGGGAGGGTAGAAAAAGGAAAATTTGAGAGTCCACTTGAGAGACTGACTCAGGCCTTCCCAAAGCTATTGTTTAAGGATGTTGATAACATGGAAAGATACTAGAAAGAGAAACAGCAGGGGGATGGGGACTCAAAGAGTTTTCATGAACTGACTTTGGTCATTGCAATATTAAGACTGCGTGTGAAAGAAACAGGAACAGTATGGCCTCCGATCATTTTAACTTAAAATGAAAACTCTACCTTGTTGTATCTCAAAGACAATTAGTCATCCTTGAGAAATGGCTTCCTTTCTCTGAAAGTAAGTTGGCCCTTAGTACCAAAGAACACTGACCCTATAAGAGTGAGGATTATGCCTCAACTCTTGACAGGAACAAGTTACATATTTTTCTAGTTAAAACCACAATGAGAGGCTATGTCACACTCACCAAAAAGGCTAAAACTAAAAAGACTGGTGGTACCAAGTGTTGACCAGGTCATGGAGACTCTGGAATTCTCATTCATTGCTGGTGGGACTGTAAAATGGTATAATTATTTATAAAGTTAAACGTATCATATGACTCAGCAATTCCATTCCTAGGTATTTACCCAAGAGAAATATGTCCACAAAAAGACTTAGTCAAGAATAGCACAGCTGCTGTATTCATAATTGGCCAAACCTGGAAACAACCAAAGTGACTATGAAACAGTGTATTCAAATGATGGTGTATTCGTACAATGGAGTAAGACTCAGCAATGAAAAGAAGCAAACCGGACACGTGCAACATTGTAGATGAATCACTGAAATACTATGCTAAATGAAAGAAACCAGATTTTTATTTTATTTTTATTCTTTTAATTCTTTTTTTTTAATATTTTATTTATTTATTCATGAGAGACAGAGGGAGAGAGAGAGGGAGAGAGAGAGAGAGAAGCAGAGGGAGAAGCAGGCTCCCAAGGAGCAGGGAGCCCAATGCAGGACTCGATCCCAGGACCCTGGGATCATGACCTGAGCCGAAGGCAGACGCTTAACCATCTGAGCCACCCAGGCACCCAAAAGAAGCCAGATTTTTAAAAAATAATGTTTGATTCTATTGATATGAAATATAAAAAAAAAAAAAGCAGAACAAATCTGTAGTGATAGGAAGCTGACCAGCGGTTGCCTGAGGTTAGAGGTGGAAGGGATTATCTAGAAAGGGGCACAGGGAAATGTTCTGAGAGGACAGAAATAGTGTACATCTTGACTGTGGTGGGGATTGCATGTGCATATATAATTGCCAAAATTCACAAACTGTTACTTAAGACGTTGTTTTGTTTTATGTAAATTATCCCCCTGATAAAGTTAATTTTATCGGGATGCCTGGCGGCTCATTCGGTTAAGCATCTGCCTTCAGCTCGGGTCATGGTCCCAGGGTCCTGGGATCAAGCCCTGCGTCGGGCTCTCT